GAATACAGCTACTCCTGACACAGCACCTTTAGACCCCTGATGGTAATTGCAACAGTAAAAACCTTTAATGTGTTTATTACCCACTACTTTTGGGTGTGGCTGTTTGCATGAATCTAAAAAGAGATCTAATATTTAGGTAAGCAGAACACAACGGTGTGCTTAGAAATGTTTTATGATCAGACTTGAATTTTTTTTTAACCTTTTGTCTGATTTATTTAAACACAGCTGACCTTTGGCCATCAGTTTGTTTGTTCAGTAGCATGAAATCCTTAGCTTTGCACGACAGTGCAATTTAGTGTTCTCTAGCTGCAGTATATAATGGTGTCTACAGTAGTGTGTAATCTGTAATTACCCTTAAATTCCCCCAGGGCCAGCTAAATGATGCCATAAAACTCTGCATGTTATCGATCTCTAAGGGGCTCCAGTAGTTGTTTGGCTGTTGAAGTAAATATGCTGAAGGGAGACTGGGTCACTGCAGATGTAAACATTGTAAAAGTTAACATTTTGATGCACTAAATCTGCCGTGCTGGAGGAACTTTAAACTCCAGAAGCACAAGGTGATCCGTGTGGAACGAAGTTAATTCTGACAGACAGGATTATTGATGTACAGGATTGGGCCCTGGTAAGTAATACTGCGGTTTGTATCCTAAGGTGGATATCACTGGATGAAAGGTGGAGTAGAGCGTCTACAGGTCACCACGACTGCACAGATGGGGGGTTAAGAAAGAGGTGGGTGTTACAGGATTCAAGCCTGGGACAGTTACCATAAGAACTAAGGTCTTGGTAAACAGATCCCTCACTTTACATCCGCACGATCTGTGTTGGAATACCCGGAGAGAACCCACATGGAATAACATAAAAACTCAATATATAATATATAATATAGCCCAATATTCCTTTCTAAAATCCTCTCACAGCAACACAAAATAGCACAAAACGTTTAGCCCTGCAAATTAATGTATATTTCTTTATTATATGACTTTTGCCAGGTACAAGTCTTAATATAAACTGAATTGAAATTAAATTTGAAGTATTTGTACTATTTGAAGTATTTAAAACATATTTTTCTTTCACTCTTAGCATCAAACACCTTTGTGATCTAAACAGCCTCCAGTATCATTAGACTAATAATTGACATGACTTAAACAGTTACGACGAAAGCAGCAGGTATTATCTGAAACATTTTCCCACACTCATAGACACTGACTGGCATTGATCACATGTAAATGTTATTGATCACTTCACTCTTATCCATCTGTATTGATTTGGGCGAGCCTCTGTGTGCCTCCTCTCTTTGTCCTTAAACCATCCAGCTGATAGATTGTGCTGCTTACAGAGAGATGATGCTAAAAGGAAGCTGTGCATCAACATTAAAGTAAAGGAATTAGTGTGTGCTGCTTAAATGAAAAAATAAAAAAACATCGTTTTAACTTTAATATGGACAGCAACTTATTTACAGCCCTTTATTCATGGCTACAATTAATTAGCATCCGTTGCCTACAACTAATTGTACCTGGTGACTGCTGACTCATAAGAAATGCTCACTTAACTAACATCCCACACCTTTACTTTTTGTAATTGCATGTCAAATTGATTCAAACTTCATTTAGTTCATTTTATATTTAACTAGAATTCCTATTTTGATCTTGTGACAATCAATGGTTTTGATAGTCTATATTCAAAAGCATTATATCTCATTCTTTTTGACTATATTTACCAGTGCACCCGGAAAAAAATATTTAAAAAATGTTTTTTGTAATACAATAATAAAGCAAAAGAAGAATTTGGTAGATTTTGCAAGTGAAAATATTTTAATACAGGCCATGACATATACTGATACTCTTTCATGGTCTGTAGCTTTGGTTTGGTTTGATGTGTCATTATTCCTCATATATTTGAAATAATGTCATTGGTTGTTTTTTTTTGTTATTACCGTAGTATGCATGGAGTATGACCTACCTTATTTTTTTAAGGCATTTATTCATACACCTAACAGATTTATATTCAAAACTATTTTTATACAATAAAGACATTTGTTTCTTATGGATATAAAATGTGAAAAAGATATAAACAATTTCAATTCAATTCAGTTTATTTATATAGCGCCAATTTATAACATCATCTCACTTTTAAATAAGTATAAATAAAAAATTCCCCTAAAATAAAACCAACCTACTCTTTGTAACTTAGAAAAAAGTTATAGAATAGAATAGAATAGAAAATCCCTTTATTGTCCCACAATGGGGGAAATTCTGTTGTTTACAGCAGTAAAAAGATTATAGGAAAAACTGTCACACAAATGTGGACCTTAGAAAAATGTATAAGAATAACATATTAGTGAAGAGTTAAAAGATAAACAATAAAATACTGTACTGTAAAGTAACTTACAAAAAAAAGGGAAGATTTGCAGAGTGTGAAACTGACAAGGTTGAGTTATTCAGCGGTTTGAGTCATAGCATTAGGGAGAGCTTTAAACCTAATGAGTAATTCATAACTCCAGCTCCATTCATAACAAGTCACAGATCAGTATGACTTAGAAGCACCATTTACTACATTAGTGAATGCAGAAACTCTGATGCACCATTACACACTAGAAGTTCTCCCCAGAAAAAAACACACATCACCACAAAAAAGTGTCTCTGAAGTACATACTTTCCATAAGTAGGCCTACGACTTTTTTCATTATGTTAATGTTTTATCACCACTCTTCAAATAATTCATAACTGTGAAAATATGAGATGTATCAAGCTGCTGCTGCTGCTTTTAAATTGTCAGTCTTGCTAAATGATCTACTTTCAGCATTGTATGATTTAAAGAGATTACACTTGATTTTGAAATTTTATTTGGCTAACAAAGTTTTTTGCAGCTAATATTTTTGCTGTTAATGTTCATCGTGTTATTTGAAGACAGAGAGTGCGCCATAGGATTGAAAATAATTTACACATGCACAACTGAACTAAATCTATAAACTTATTTTTGAAGACAAGACTGGTAATGGATCATATTTACTATTAAAATAATAACGAAATAGTGAGATAGAGACACATAGACTGTAAGATTATAAGGCAAAAGTCATGTTTGAAAATAGCCATATCCCACCAATGCAGGCTTTTTCATTTTGGTAACAAATTCTAAGCATTTTATGAGGTTTTTATACACGAGGTTGAGTCTGTCAACATATTCTTTGGTCATGTGTGATGTCCATGAGATGAAAAAAAACATACATTTGCACCAATATAGGTTTGTGGTGGAAACAGCATCTGAAACAATAACTGTATTAAGTTTTCACAGTAAAAAAGAAAAGTTGGTAAAACTGAAAACTTTATTGCAACACATTTCAGTTATGTTTTAAGCTTAGGCCTTTAACTTAACCTTTCAAGTTTTGCTTTTGGATCTGCCAAACCTTGAATTCTGTGTTATTTGAATTCTGAATTATTCCAGTGTTTAGGTAGTGTTATATAGTAGTATATATATATATATATATATATATATATATATATATATATATATATATATATATATATATATATATATATATATGTTGGCAAGTAACTGTTTCTTATCTGTGCAGTGCTGGAGGTAAATCATCAAGCCCAACAATGTGAGATTTAGCAGAAAGCAGAGAACTTAGGCAGATTAAAAATGTGTTTTTTTTTTTACAAAACTGTTCAAGTTGGTTGAAATTGACTTCCAGAACTTTAGATAAATTAAAAGCAAACAAAATTAGCTTTACACTGTGAGGAAAAGCTGGGTTTAATAATAAAAAATATCCCATGAAAGCCTCAGTTAGCACTCATAAAAATAAACTGAAAATGGCAACTGCAGACCTTCCATAACTGACCAGCTTCCACAGCTCAGTGCACTTCCCACAAAGTTGTTGGATTTTGAGATTTTCAAAAAGAATTATGCACAAGCATTTACTCTCTAGATGGTGAACGCATTAAAGATATACTAAAAAAAAATCTATTTTTGGTAAAATAAGGGATCTGAGAGCTGGCACAGAGAGGCAAATGCAATTTACACTTCTTTGGTCTTTAATTTGCCAAAAAATATCAGTGGTGTCAAAAGGACACACATTTTTTTTTTACTTTAGGAGAAGTATAGATACTGTATGGTAAAAGTTGAAGTATCAACTTGACCATTTTACTCAAGTAAAAGTGAAAAAGTATGTGCTCGAAAAACTACTTAAGGTATAAAAGAATAAAGTAACCTTTAAAAAAACGGCCAGATGAATTAACAAAATCTATATGAATTTATAGCTCATTTTAGCTACCTTTTCAAAAAATTATGTGAAATAGGGTGAGGGAGGTCTTGTTGGTCTCCATCTCCCGATACGCTCTCGCTTGTGTCCGACCTTTCAGACATCTTCGACATCTTTTTCTGAATCCAACATTGCAGCATGGCATAGACAATTCGCATTTGCAGTTTGAAGAACACCTGCTTGCTTCTGATGATTTCCTTTAGCTAACCAATGAGTGTTTGCGTTATATGACTCATGCAGTTCCACTAGTTTTTACTAGATGTGGATGGAGCCAATGATCTGCATTGGATGGCGCACATGACGTGAAATAAATATTTATAAACATTAAACTGAAGCCAAGAGTAACGAGTAACGTTTGTTTTGAACATGTAAGGAATAGCAAGTATAGATATTGTGTGAAAATTTAATGAATAGAAGTCAGAAGTAGGAAGAAAAATAAGTAATGGAGCAAAGCACAGATACCTAAAAAGCGTATTTAAGTACAGTAACGAAGTATTTGTACTTCATTACTTGACACCATTGACAAATATGTAATACATACCCTTCCTTTCAAGAAAGCAGTACATTATGTTGGTTCATGGTGTAATTTAGGTAACAAATTAATTGTTTTTGACAAGTGGACACTGTTAAAGGTGTATATATAATAATTGACTCCATAATCTTGGACAGTTTGAAGAGGCAAATCTTAATATCTACCTGAAGATTGAGTTCTACCTGCTGCTGTGACATTTCTCTTTCCCTTTTCTACTCAGCTTGTTTGTTTCATCACCAGGGGGCGACGGCGAGCTGCCTAGGAGCCTGACGCAAAAAGAGGCGGGGTATACTTCCTTTTAAAAAGCCTGATTCTCTGTTTTTTCTCACATCTAGAGAGAGAGAGCGGAAAAGAAGGTAGTTTGTTTACCTCCTCCTCCGGTAGAGTTTTTCACACCGATTATTCATCCACTTTGGAGCCATTTTCCCTTAACCGACACTGGAATTTACTCCTTTTGTTCCACTGCTTCCCTTCTTTTGTATTTCATCCTTGGAATTTATTGTTGACAATTTTGGAGTTGAGGACCACATTGGAAGTCACACAACCTATTTTTCTTTTCTCTTTTGTGGGGGTTAGAGTCAAGCTTCCACCGTATAAATTGGGAAATTACGGTGATGTCTTATGAATGACATGCAATCTTCAAGGTAAGTTTAGAACAACGTGCGTAAAGTGAGTGCGTGGGTTGTTTGTCACGCTGCTGCTTAATTGCAATAATAAGCCGCCGCTTCATGCCGGCTTTTTGGTGAATGCGCTGCAATCTCGCGCAATTACGCACCAACAGTCGCTTTATTCCAAAGAGAAAATAATGATGAATACATGCAGTAATAGTTTAATATAGGCTGTAAAATGGGTTATCATTGCATTTTTTGTAATAGTTGTATAAAATGCCTGAATGAATCTATAATCCTTTTGGTATTACACATTAGTTACTAATATTAGTGGGTTATTAGTTTAAGGAAATGATTCTTTGTTTGAGCTGTCAGAAGGATGAATAATAGCGCGTTATTCAGCTCACCTCTGCCGGGTAGGAACGACGCGCTCCAGCTCCGATTATTTGTCTACCCTTCAGGCGCAGATCGGGTTGCACCAGGGGTAAAGGATTTTGTCTAAAAGTTTCTGAATGATAGTATGTTTTGCCACCTTGAGAATAAACGTTGCTTTATTTGGTGGACCATAACAGCGCTTCAGTTTTTCTGCTTTTTAGAACCAATAGTCTGCCGTGTGATGGAAGATTTTTGCGCAAAGATTATATATTTTCCCCTCTGGAGTAAATAGACACGCTGATGTTAAGAAGCATCTACTTGTGTTGCAGTTTGCAACGTTTAATTCCCCGGGTCATCAAGTTCAGGCAACACAGCATGCCCACGTTTTTTTTTTTTTTGGTGTTATGTCTGGTGATAGCGGACATTGTTCACAAATGCATTTCCACCTACCTAACAATACCAAGTCCATACAGTATGTGCGCTGTCCTGTGGGAGGCGCACACACACTAAAGCAGAATCCAGGTTTGCAACTTCGCATGATCGACCGGCTGTTGTATCTTTTTTTTTTTCTTAAATCGTGAGCTGCATGCTTATGGTGTAATCTGAAGTGTGCCTTCCTTAAATAGCAACAACAACAAATAATAATTATTAAACTCTACTTTGAGGATACGGTGATGGCGTTAAAGTGCACTTCGGACTGATTTCTGTCAGCATTTCATCAGACGCTCACTGTGTTTCCTTCCTTTTACCATGTCCTGTTCCTCTGTCTCCCAATCTCTCTCTCTCTCTATGTTGCCAGCTGCTCCACAGTCAGCCTTCCAGCTCCTCTTCGTGCTTAGATCCTATCGTGTCCAGACGTACAAATCATTATAAGATTGGTGAAATTATGAGAATGTGTCTTCCAGAACAAAAAGCGTCGCGTCCTGGCCAAGCGCAGTAGCTGTCTCTGCGTGCGCAAAAGACAATGGTTATTAAACTATTGCGCGTAAAATGCGGAGATAGTTCTAAAATAAACATAACAGCATATGCAAATCTATACAGATCTTAAAAATTAATCTTAACTAACCTTGTGTTAGACTTGCAGCTATAGAATTTCAATTAATTAAACACATTCTGGAGATCCCATAAAAAGCTTCCTGATATTTCCCTTGAGGAAGTTTGTCTCCGGCTGTCATGTCTGTGACGCAGTTTATGTCACACCAGCCGCTTCCTACATGTCAAATTTGTTGTTGTTGTTTTTTTTTTCTCCACAGCAAAGTTTAACAATCATTTGCCATGATCAGCACTTTCTGACAAACAATAGAAACTCTCTGAACTTGAGTTTGGAGAAAAAAATTGGTTTTACCGTATATGATGAAAAATATTGTGTGGGAATCAGGTGCTGTAGACAGGGACTAAAGTAAAGAAGCCAGATAGACTCACAGGTGGAACCCTGACTTCCCCTATCAAGACGCTAGAAAGGTCAGTAATGTGTTAAATGAATATAAAATTGCTGTAATTCCGCCTTTCTGAAAATAAAGATATACAGAACAAAGTCCAATCGTGACACAGCAGTTGCGCTGCGCAGCTGCAGCTCCAGACGCAGCACAGGGGCTGATTTCTCCGTGCCAAGGGATGAAAGCCCACGCTCACGGTGACGCTCTGTTCATCCAACAGACCGCCAAACCTGCGCGATGGCTCGACCGAAGTAACTTCAGAGGAGGGGACCGAGGGAGACCCAGCAGCCTCAGCGCGAAAACCACGTCTGTCGAAGCGCAGAGAGCGGAGCTGCGCGCTGCAGCCGGGCGCCGCTGGCACCGCAGGAGGAGGAAGGGATCCGGACTCGGACTCGCCGCCCTGTTCCGTAAGCCCGGCCAGTTTAGACGTCTTTCGAAGCAGGTCGATTTTCCGCCCTACTCGCCGCTCATCCAGCGGATACTTCTCCTTTGACTGTGACTCGCTTCCGAGCTCCCCGCTCACCCCGCACCCGGTGACGGCTGACAAAGCCACACAGACTGCCAGTCCCACGGGCCAGGTGATGAAGCACGCCCTGCAGCGAATGGCTGTGGAGCAGGGTGGACAGGGAGCGCCCGGGCTGCACGGTGAGCAAACAGAAATGCACTGTAAAAAACAAATTTACTAAATGCTTCAATTTTAGACCTGAAAATAACCATTACAGGGAATCATTTTAGTCCATTATATAGGAAAAACACGCAGAACACTACACTTGGTTTGCATTCCTCTGTTAAAAAACGACAACAAAACAATAATTGTTTTGACATTAAGGAAACAGATGTAAATAAAATAGTAATAGAGTTTTTAATCAGTTATAACAACTCCTCTCTGACATTCACAGCTAAAATGTGACATTCAAGTGCAACAACCAACTCAGGGTTAAGAACTGCAGATTGCAACTTAACTTATTTCTCTACAAGAAAAATTTCCCAGCCTCAAGTAGCATGATGCTTCTAGACTTTCACTGAATTCAAATTTTCATTAGCAACACAACCCATATGGAAATTAGCCTTACCAATTCTCTGCAGGACACCGCTGCTGGACCAAACCTACATCTGTTATTCAATTCATCTCAATATATTTAGGAAGGAATTCATTCAAGATAGTAATCGTTAATGTTATATTATAGCAACCAAGTCATGTTTTTTTAAGTGTATCATATTGCCTAATCCTATCCTTGTTTTTTTTTTTTGGAGTTTTTAAATTAAAATAGGTCACCTAAAATACAGCATCAACCAGGGAAACTCTCAGAACATTCATTTAGTAAACTCTTTATGTGTTTATTTGGTCTAAAGATAAGTGTTGATATGAAAATACGAAGAAACTGTTTTGCACATAAAAGTTAAAGACCTGACCGCAATATGATGCTTTAGATGTTTTCACTGGCTGCAGTTTCTGTGTGGGTGTGCACGTAAAATATGAAACCAGACAGAAGCCCAGCATCCACTCCTCCACCGATTCCTAGTTATACTGTAGATTTTGTGGAGCTGATAATGATAGTAAACAGATGAACTATTCTTGGAAGTGAGTTGGAATGTTTCTCCTGAGGGATAACTAAAATCTTCCACCATTTACTACTCTTTCAAAAAAGTGTTACTCATGTTTTTACACATTTGACTTCAATGACTAATATGTGCCTCATCTCAGCCTTTTAGCCTATTAAAGGATCTCCCAGACATGCAGTATGTATATTTCTGATGCACTAATGTCACAAGCAAAATGTGAACATGAATTAAAGCATGTCACTTTAATACAGACATTCAAGAAATGGGAGTTTTTTTCTCTCTGCTCATTTGGCGTGGCGTAATCCAGGCCTCCCTAAAGTAACTCATCAGTCAGTATTCCAAGAAGAAGAAAAAAATCGACTCCTTTTGTCTAAACAGTGCAAATGGTGATTCAGCAGTTTTCCTGTCAGCTGCATCAACAAAAGAAAGAGTTAGATGTGATTAAACATTTTCACATAAATCCTTTGAAAATCAATAAAAAAAGTGGCATAATGGATAATGTACCAAAGTGTTCTCTGGAGTTCAACACTTTCTTTTAATTTTTTTTTTCTTAGAGACCCCACAACATACATTAGTTTGGTATAGCAAACATTCAGTCCAGCAAAGAAGACTAATGTGCTAATTAGCCAGACAGGACATCCTGTTGAATATAATCTGGCAAGAATCAATGGCAGTATATCTGTTAGGATAAAACTGTTATTGTATCACCGTTTTGTGGTCAAATGTCACTTCCTACTCTCTGTCTAAATAATCATCACTGCACACAGTCAGCTCGTAGGGGACAATCTGCCCTCTGTGATAAGAGCTATGGTTTTGTCTTCTGCCCCAAAGTATACCAAACAAAACGGTACTATAGATTTACACAGAATACCACTTAGGATTTGCACGGCTATTTAGTACATTTTGCACATATCTCAGGAATTTAGGCTTTATTATGTAATAGATACAAAAATAGACTAATGCAAAACACAAAGGATATGTGATGCTGCAGAGTAGAGATGGACTGAAGCAGGTTTTGTAAGGCCACACTTTTTAACATCAGTTTAACCGATCCCAGATATATGCTGCCGATTTTAATAATAAATGTTACAGTACATACGTTTCAATTTCAACAAAAAAAGAATCACAACTGATAGCATATGGAAGACATGGTTGCTGAATGCCCTACTGCAAGTGTCGGCTGAGGCTGATACAATAGAAATAAAAGCCAATATCAGGCTGAACTACTGACATGCTGTTCAGCAGATGTGACATCAAACACGTCCATGTTACATGGGTCTGAACTGGCAGACAATTGAAGTGTTGTATTCAAGATGGGTTTTGCAGACTCTTAGAGGCGACCTGCATCCAATCTAAATTCAGACCCCTATGGCAACTCTAAGTAAGGTGAAAAAGCAAGAATTGAAAAACCTTGTTCAGTATGAGCGAGAGCTAAGAGAACGATCAGAAGATGCTGCAGTTCTCTGTTTTGGCCACAGGTGGCAGTGTCATTAGAGAACTCCTTAATGCCTCTTTAAGCAGACAAACTTTAAACATTACCTTTACATTTTTAAGATCATATATGTCATCACACATACGAAATATCTACCACCCTGAGGAGGTCAATGTCAAGATCTCAAGGCTGTACTGGAAAGTATTGTTGCACCGATGCCATTTTTTGGCCCTGATACCGATACCCGGCTGTGCAGTATTGGCCGATACCGATACCATCTGTTTGAAATTGATGCGTGTGTGTGTATATATGAAGAACTGCATAATACTTGGGTGTAAAATAATTGCCATCATGGCTTTGTCAAGCTGCTGCCTACCTTTGCGAAGCAGGAAAAAGACTAATACAAAATGAATCCATCAGAACTTTGTATTGCCTACCTGGAATGGGTGACAATAGTTGAATAAACCTTTGGCCCTCAAAATGGTATCGGTGCTCTATATTGTACTTGCCGATACCGATACCACCATTTAAGTGTTGGATTGGGGCCTCGCCCAATACTGGTATCCGTATCGGTCCAACACTACTGGAAATATGTGCAGTTGTGATGTTAGAACTAAAGGGGCTTGGCTTATATAGGTGGCAGTGTTTAATTCACACAGTAAAATAAACTTTTAAACTTAGAAAGAAGTAGTTTTGTAATTTTGAGGGTATCTTCTTGCATAATGGTTTTCTGCAGTTTACTTCTCTTTGTTCAACTGCCAAAAATATTAGTTGGAGGAAAAGTTTCTCTTTAATCACAGGGGGTTCCACCAAGAAAAGTTTGGAACCACTGTGTTAGAATTACGTCGAGAAAAACAAACAAAACACTGTTAGACATTTTTTATAGTGGTTCTAATTTAGCTGAGCTTGGTATGTTGATCCTTCACCCTGACTGACCTTTCAGTGCTTTAAATATGAGAAAAGTTATCTTTGCAGTCATCCACGTCATTGTCTGTCAGGTCTGGCCTACATTACAAAAGCATGTAATGTGTGATGATGTTGGTTAATCTTGCAATAATCATCTGCCTCTTGATAAATTAATGTATACCTAATTTAACTGTGCTAATATATTTTGGCTACGGGTTCATAGCTAATGACAAGCATTGTATCCACCTCCTTGGAAAAAAATGCATTCCATCATAGCAACAAGCCTTTATTAGGAAAGCTACTTCTGTCCTGCATTTGCTGTTTAGTGGGTAAAATGTGTCTGCCTTGGTTATTGTATAAACTGACCAACACTTTGACTTTATGCTGCATTTAAAAACAATAATTTTAGTCAAACAAAACCTGAATACATTGTACATGAATAATTAGCTAGCACATACTGCAGTCCAAGCAGTTCTGTGCAATATGCATGTTGTGCACCATGATATTGCAAAACAATAAATTTGCAATAAATATTGCAGCCATATAATCTGCATGATATTCTGCTGAACAAGACAGTTTGTGTTGAGACACAGTGTGAAAGGCACGTGTATATTGCACAAAGAAGGGAGGTATGATCTGAAAGGAGTTTCTGGCTATTTTTGGACTGACTCAAAGTCTTCCAGAAAAAAAAAAAAGCTTTCATTGTCTCTGCTCGGAAAGGATGTGATGTAAAAAAAAAAGGATGGATCTTTTCAACCATCTACTAATGCAGATTTTGAATGTCAGAACAACCAGTCTGGCATTTTCATGGTGTTTCAGCAGTTCTCTTAGCTGTGACTCTGTTTTCTGTTTTCGCTGTTTATTTGATCAAAAAGCAGAGTGAAACACGCTAGGCTATCACCTCCAGCAAGATTTAAAATAGTGCTTCAGTGGACTTGTTTATATCGGCACCATCTGCAAAAGAAGTCCTTTTAATTGCTGTGCTGTTGGCTAAAGTTACTGTCTTGTTGACTGGGTAACTTGGTAACACAACTGCGCCTTAGGACTAAAATATGGGCAAAATCAGCTGATATTAGAAACAATCTATCAAGTAAAACCCCTGAAAATGTTCATGGTAACATCCGCTACATTATCTCAGATTTCCTACTTGCTGCAGAGATATATTACTCTATGTGGCATATGGATGGGTACATTTCAATTCCAATACAGTAATGATCAGCACAGATTGTACTGCAGGTAAACATATCTCCTTCTGTTTATTTTGAAGATTATGTTTTTTAAACAACAAAAAAATATTTTCCCAAGCATAACTAAAGGAAGCTTCACGTGCTGGATTCTCAAGATGAGAATATAATAGAAGTGATTAGCTTAACAGATTGCATTGTGTTTCTTTTATTTTTCCACTGTAGCTAGAACAGATAGCCATCAAAAGAAGCCAGACTGCATGTGTATACAGGTCACTCATTAAGTGCACATGTTAAGTAGTCAAAATAGGGGTGCAGCTCTTTTGTGAGACACAGACAGAGACTTTGGCCAGGACAATGTTAAAATGGTAGAAAAAATACAGACAGTGGTGCAACGTTTTATGTATTGTTATCAGTGCAATAAAAGCCTCAGTTATCATGAATGTTTCCTTGTTTATGTTTTGGACGCCCTACGGAGGATCATCTTATCTTCTTGTTGTTGGCGTTCAGTCTCTTAGTCATTTCTCGTGCTACTGGACGAAGAAACAGTAATCAGTTGT